ATAAAAGAAAGAAACTGGTTATTTTCAGAAGACCACAACAATGAACCAACAACAAAGATCAAGCTCATTAAAGCAGAAATAGTCTGTTCGGCTAACTTCGTTAACCATTACAAAACGGAGAAGTGCTACCCGTTTAAACTTATTTCCGAGTTTAGATCAACGACAATTTTTGCGTAATATCCGACCACATCAGCTGACAATAAAGTCGCGTTAATTCAATTTGAAAATTAAATGATTAAAAGAAAATCCAGAAAAACATCAACTAAAAATCTTGGATAGTTTATTTTTGTAGTTGTCGTGTCAAAAGGTTGATACGACAGCACGTCACCATTTTAGATGAGGACATCTTTATCGACATAAAAAACGATAGCTGCTGATTAACGCCACTTAGTGCGTCCTGGACTGAACGTAAATCGCGCCACTTATACGACATCTCTCTTCAACCATTTGTTACAACTCCCTCAGAATATTTACCGTTCCGCCATTTTTTTTTTAAATTTGATTTTCGCCGCCATAATTTATCGGTATTACTTGTCAACTCAAAGCTGTTTATTTTGGAATTGTCATTCTGATTTTTGTTATTTCAAACAAATTATTTGATTGGTTAACTGTCTGGCTGCTCACGAGAGTTGACGATGTGATAGTGAATCTCAAAACTCTGTCTAGATTTTGCTGAACTGTGAAGCGAAGCGTAACGGGTGTCTCGAACTTAGGTGTGTTCTTCATTTGAACGTCTCATGAAAAAGTCTTAGAGAAATGGTTTACATTGAGATCTATGTTGAGCTTCTCTGTCAACTTTTTACTTGCTCTCCGAAGATTGGCCAGTCAAATTACTTTTCTCCCATGTTTGACAAATCAATAAAACCCTAATTTTATTCACCAAGGAAAATGTCGTCTATTTTAACGTTTTCGCCATTTTCTATGTCAATTATGTCGCGAACTGCGACATTCGAAAGGTAATAAATCTAATGGAAATGTATATGGAGCGCTAATTTAAAAGAATAATTTTTTAGACGCATCATCATCATCATTTCATAAATTACAACTTAGGAACCAATGTAATAAGCTGCATCATATTAATAATTCTTTGTGTGCCGGTGATCGTTATATTAGTGGTAGTACAGGCAAAGAAAGATTATCGAGTGCCCTGACATTATTTCTGAGTAATAAGTTATGTGAGCAGAACTTAGCACAAGACTGACCGCTCAAATATTTCAGGTATGCTCTACAAAAGGGAAGATTAATTATCAGAGAATTCGTTGGAATAAAACTGACACAGAATCAATGAAACGAAAAGACCAGTAGTTTTTAGACTGGCTATATCTTTGCTCTAAAGATCTAGATTTTGGAAACAAAGACAAACGTACAGTTTTCGACTTGTAAAATCTGCGATACACAGACCAGTAGTTCAGAACGATATTGCACCTCTATCCTCGCTATATCTTTGCTCTAAAGATCTAGATTTTGGAAACAAAGACAAACGTACAGTTTTAGACCTCTTTCGCTATATCTTTGCTCTAAAAAAAATAAGATAGTTTTAGACTTGTAAAATCAATATATTACATCTTTGCTCTGATGTACCCACGACTTGTAAAATCTAGTAGTTCAGAACGATATTGACTATATATGCGAAAACGCTCTAAAAACAGATTTTTAGGAGAGATAGTTAAAACGAAAATATTAAAGATCTAGATTTTTAAACAACAAAGACATTGTGCGAGAACCAGTAGTTCACCAAGCTATATCTTTGCTCTAAAGAAGAAGAAGAAGAAGAAGAAAAATCTGCGAAAACCAGTTTTCTCGATATTGCACCTCTATTCAATCAGATTTTGACAAAGACAAACGTACAGTTTAGGTTCTATCGATTCTGATTAATGACTGCAATAAGTGTAGAGCAGAACTTCTCACAGTTCTTATTCCATTACCCTAAACTTATGTCCTAATGCCGCTGGTAATCAAGAAGAAAAAAACAGCTATATTTGCTATCCAATTCTTAATAAAAAAAAATAAAATCACTTTATTAAATCAACTACAGTAACGTAGCTTCCTAGTGCATTTTCTATAAATATGTTCATGGTAATTACTTTGATGAACTTCCTCTTTTGCAACTATATAAATTTAAGCGGAGTACTAGATTGGCGACAAATTTTCATCATCTTGAAATCGCTAAATGTAACTGTAAGTTCTATGCTAACAGTTTCTTTTATCGCACTTCTTGCTTGTGAAAATCTCTTCCGGCCTCTTGCTTCTGATCTTCAAATATTTAAATGCAGTGTCAATCGTTCTAGTCTGTCTTTTTAATTTCTGTTCTTTAGTTGTTCTCTCTCCTTAAAATGTTTTCTATTTCTCATATTTTCTAACACTCAGTCACCCCCCATGCGTCTTAGAGGCTTTATTGCCTTGCTTGGGTGAAATGATTAAAAGGAATGTATTATATTGTATATATTCTTAAATAACACGGTAACAATTAAAAGTTGGAAAACTAATTAAGACTAAACTAATGAGAAGGGTGGATATGTTTTTTAAGCAATTAAATTCACAATGCATGGATTTATTTTTGACAGTGCAAGCTGCAAGTCTGAAAAGACGCAGAGGCGATTTCAGTATTTGTTTCTCATGTTGCATATTATCGAAAATCGTACTTGCGAACCGAACGTTCAGAATCCTTCTTAGCAATTTTGGGTACATACCATTTTTTGTTATTTGCATACAAATAATGTTTATTATTTTTTTAAATTTTCATCATTTGTTTTCTTCTTTATCTTCGATCATGGCTCACCAGAGTTTCCCGTCCTTTGCTGCTCTTAATAAACTTTGCGTTTCTGTTATTTCTCCTAAGCCCTGCTCCGCCATCTATTTAGTCAATCTCACTAAGTATGCTATGCTTTGTTTTCACCTTCCCCTCTTGCTCTCTATCTGTGCTGTGGGTATCAGATTTTCCAAACCCTCCTTCCTCATTATGATCCCCTGAAACTTCAACTGTCTCTTCCTTATCTTTTGTTTCCATTTTCTCCAAAACTTCGTCGTTGCTCACATGCTCGGTTCATGGTATTCTCAGCATCCTTCTGTAGAACCACATTTTTGTTGCTTCAAGTCTTCTCTTCATCTTTGATGAGATCGTCCAGTACTCACTGCCATACAGAAGGACAAATAGCATGCAGCAGTTTAGTAACCTTTGTTGGAATTTTTGGGTACCCTAGTACTAGTGAGCCAGCCAAAATGAGCTGACTATAGTTCGGCAATAGAAGGCTTAACCAATCAAAAGGCTCAAAATATACAACGCGACGTGTATAAAGGCGGCCATGTTTTTTTCCGAATATTCACTGGCAGCCAGCCTTTGATATTGAAGACTGAAGAATTACGGAACAGCTGCTGGTGGTACTGGCGATATAGGCGGATTCAGTAGAGTGTCTGCCTCGTGAATATTAATCTTTAACGTTGTTTTATTGAACAGATTACGTACTGTGCTGTATTCTATATTCATAGACTATGGTGAACATGGTTAACAACCTTTTCCTTATTTCTAGCGAAATTTTCCTATTTCTTAATACACTGTTTAATTTTTGAAATGCTTACTTGTTTATCCCAGATATTTAAATTTCCGCACTTGTTAGATTTTCGCATCACCGATTTGCAATTCGTACTTTGGGCTCATGCATTCTGATTTCTTGCAATTGGAATTTAAGCCTTTTCGTTTTACAAATAGAAAAAAGATCTTGACAATAAAATTCACTTTCATTCAAGTTTTTTTGTCAGTTGTTGATTAATGTTGCAGAAATTTTGTTGCTTTATTAAAAAAAAAAAAAAAAAAACTTCCCGTCCTGGGTATGACGATAAACTACATCCACGTCCTGGGTAAGACGATAAATTACATCCGGCAGCAAGGCCACTAATCAGGAGGTTTTGAGGATCGTGGAACCTACTCTTAATTGCTGGCGTTCCTAGGTCCACCCTGGCCCGGGGTGGTAGCACCTGTTAGAGACCCAGCTATGGACAAATAGTTGACCCCCAAACTGGCGTTAAAACACTATGAAAGCGTAAAAACAGATCTTAATACTAGCAATACATTTTTGTAAAAGATTATTAACAGCAATACATTTTTGAAAAAAAAATACCAGCAATACATTTTTGAAAAAAAAAATACCAGCAATACATTTTTGAAGAAAAAATACCAGCAATACATTTGAAAAAAAAAATAAATTTTTGAAAAAAAAATACCAGCAATACATTTTTGAAAAATACCAGCAATACATTTGAAAAAAAATACCAGCAATACATTTTTGAAAAAAAAATACCAGCAATACATTTTTGAAAAAAATACCAGCAATACATTTTTGAAAAAAAAATACCAGCAATACATTTTTGAAAAAAATTACCAGCAATACATTTTTGAAAAAAAATATTAGCAGCAATACATTTTTTGAGAATAAAAATCTTGTCGGCATTAAATAACCCATTGAGGTTGATATGCCGTAAAAGAAAATAAACCAAACTCAAATAACTTCATGTTTTAAAATAACATGATTCTTCACGATGTAGCCGACCTTGGCTCTCAATAGTTTCCGTGTGAATTGTCAGAAATTCTTTAGAAAATAGTGTAGTGATTTCCCGTGGCCTTTTCCACAGATCCCTTTATTTTATGATCCGTTAATTGCCAGACATTCTTTGGGAAGATAGTGGTAGTGGTAGTAGTGTTAAATTTTCTAAGCACTGTTTCCTTATTATATGCCCTAGAAATTTCAATTTGTCTTTCTTTTGCTACGTATAAGTGTCTTTTTGGTTTCAATTTTACTTAAAACTTCGTTGTTACATGTTCAGTCCATGGTTATTATCAGCACCCTTATGTAGGACGACTGTTGCCTCAAGTCTCGTCTATATCTGCGATGGGATTGTCACGCATCCACTGTCATGCCATGTAGGAGGACCGATATTACGTAATTGTTCTCGTGAGATCGAGGTAGTAAAGTGGAAAGCTCGTCAGAACAATTACCATGGAAATATTAGACATTGATAGAGAGAGAGAGAGAGAGAGAAAGAGAGAGAGAGAGCGAGCTAATTAAAGAAAAAGAGAGGTTGGCCGTAAAAGAGAGAAAGATAGAGAACAAGTAAGAAGTACAGTGTAACCCGGATATAAGAGAGTTGTCGGGACCGGAGAAGAAGTCTCTTATATCCGGGTTTCTCTTATATCCGGGTTTGGTCTCTTTTGTTTAGGTTAACACAGGCTCTAATTTGGGACCAGAGAAAATCTCTCTTATATCCGGGTTTCTCTTATATCCGGGTCTCTTATATCCGGGTTACAGTGTAGTTTATAAAACGAAGATTATCATGTGTTTTGTTTAGAATCATTTCACCCCAACCAAAGAAATAAAGCCACTAACACGCAAGCGGTTATTATTAGTTTTAGAGAATATGTGAAAAATACTAGTAAGGAAACAGAGATCAATAAAAGTGCAAGAATTAAGAAAGTAGAAGATAACGACTGACGCTGTATTTCAATTTTTGAAGATCAAAGTTGATTTGGAAGAAAGAAACTGGAAGCCAAAAGCAATAAGTGCTTAAATTGCTTAAAAAAACATATCTACCTTTCTCATTAGTTTAGTCCTATTTAGTTTTCCAACTTCTAATTGTTACCGTGTCATTTAAGAATATATGCAATATAATACATTTCTTTTAATCATTTCACCCCAAGCAAGACAATAAAGCCACTAAGATGCATGGGTGTTACTGAGTGTTAGAAAACATGAGAAAAAGAAAACATTTTAAGTAGTGAGAACAATAAAAGAACAAGAATTAAGAAGACAGACGATAACGATTGACATTGCATTTAAATCTTTGAAGATCAGAAGCGAGAAGCAAGAAGCTGGAAGAGATTTCCACAAGCGAGAAGTGCGATAGAAGAAACTGTTAGCATAGAACTGACGGTTACATCTAGCTATTTTAATTGTAAAATGATGAGACCCTGCCGCGAATCTAATACTGCGCTTAAATTCATAAAGTCTAGGTACCATAGAGAAAAGTTCATCAAAGCAATCACCACAATTACCATGAAAGTATTTACAGAAAATACCCATGCAAGCTACATTACGGAAGTGGGAAAGTGATTGACGTCGAGATGCCAGGCCAGGACAAATAACATTGCAGATGCTTCTTTGGATTTTATCAAGAATCTGTAAATATATAGCAGGAGCACCAGACCATATGTGGCAGCAATGTACAAAGCATGGACGAATGGTAGACTTATAAATATGTTAGATAGATTCTGACGAGAAAAATTCTCTAGCACGACTAAAAGCGCCTGCGATTAATTTTATGTTTCGTAAACTGAACGATTTATTACAACCCCCACCATGAACCAATCAGATTAAAACTATAAAATGTACAATGAATCTAGTTATGTCTTTTAATTATTCGTGGATACATGTTTATATTTTCTGAACAGAATTTCGATGTAGGATAATCGAGCAAGTTTTCGCGGAATAAATGGAGATCCGTCTACATTTAGCATCAACTGATGTGATCTTAGCGAAATCTGCTCAACAAGGAAACTAAACTACAGTAAATAAAATACAACTTTCCCGCTGAGCCATATAGGTGTCTTTGAAATTGCAGGGGAAAAAAATTAATTTCGCTGAAAAGGTTATAAGATCGATAGAACAGGAGTGTCTAAATACAGCGCGCTCTCCATACAGTATAGGGTGAATCGGGGACCCGGGGCGGACTGTGAGTGATTTCGTTTGCTACATATCTTGGCTCATTTCTCATTAAACATCCAGCTCAAATTAGGCCCGGCAAACGGGGATCCTCTTGGCCGTTTTTATTTATGGCTACCGAGCAAGCCGTAATATCTTTCTTTGACTGATAAATTCTTGATAAATGGAAAGAAGATGAAATTCATCTCCAGTGACAGATGGATTTCGTATGCTGTTTAATGGATAAATACAGACGAGATGGTGAGAAAATGTATCCATCTTCTATGACAGATAGATTACAGAGTGCTGTTGTGTGTGCGAATGCTGGGGCCTTAGTGACCAGTCCATTAGCTTTCATGCGAATGTGTCGGCTTACGGATTGATCTTAACTCACAATATTTACGCGATATTTATCAACTTGTCCGAAAGATACACCCTCACTCCTCCAACCCGTACAATCCCACCCCAACTTCTTGAACTGTGCGTCGACAGGTTGTTGGGTTACTAATCTCTACCGACACACCAACATGTTCGCGAGAAAGATCAGCCGAAGACGATGGAGAGCAAGAATGGACGAGAGGAAGAAGCTAGAAGCTAGCCAGCAGCGAATATAGGAAAATGAGTCGGGGAAGATGGAAAGATAGGTGATCGAGAAGAGGGGGTGTTTTTGGGGGTGGCCAGAAATAAATGCGTAGGTGTTGTCTTCAGGAAGGTCAGTATAAATAAGATTTGGGGGCTAAATTGTTAGGAGTAGTGTTCAGCGGGAGAAAACACACGATCAAATCGAGCCGAAGCATCTGCTTTATTTTCTAGAACAACAATGTTGTATAATGTTCTCTGCCTAATCAGCCGTATCTTACATAATTAACCTGACAATGAAAACTTTCATCAGAGTTTCCCATTCATTCACCTGTGCGAGGTTTAACTTCCGTCATTCCTGCCTTTCTTCATTAATTTCCCTCCGTCATTCCGTCATTCGTCCCTTCCTTTCTTCTTTCCTTCCTTATCTCTTTCAATCCGCCCTTCCTACTTTCTTCTTTCATTCTCTCCTTCCTTCCTTCCTCCCTCCCTTCCTTCCTTCCTTCCTTCCTTCATTCATTACTTCCTTCAAATTTCCCTCCTTCATTCCTTCTTTCCTTTCTTCCTTATCTCTTTCAATCCGTCCTTCTTTACTTCCTTCTTTCATTCTCTCCTTCCTTCCTTCCTTCAAATTTCCATCCTTCATTCCATCATTTCTTCTTTCCTTAATTCATTCCATTCCTTCCTAAAGTCCTTCCGCCATTTCTTCCTTCTTTCCATATCTCTTACTATCTCCTTCTTTATTTCCTTCTTTCATTCTCGCCTTCCTTCCTTCATTCATTCACTACTTCCTTCCTTAATTCCTTCCTTCATTCTCTCGTTCCTTCCTTCATTACTTCCTTCATTCCTTCCTTCATTACTTCCTTCATTCTCACTTTCTTTCTTTACTACCTTCCTTCATTAATTCTCTCCTTTCTTCCTTCCTTTCATCATTCCTTCCTTCCTGCCTGCCTTCTATAATTCTTTCCTTCATTCCTTCCTTCACTCCTTCTTCATTTCTTCCTTCCTTTATTCCTTCTTTATTCTCTTCTTCCTTCCTTCCTTCCTTCTTTCCTTCTATCATTCCTTCATTCCTTCTTCATTTTCCTTCCTTCCTTCTTTCCTTCCTTCCTTCCTTCTTTATTCTCTTCTTCCTTCCTTCCTTCCCTCCTTCCTTCCTTCCTTCTATAATTCCTTCATTCCTTCCTTCATTCCTTCTTCATTTCTCCCTTTCTTTATTCCTTCCTTATTCTCTACTTCCTTTCTTCCTTCCTTCCTTCCTTCCTTCCTTTAGTGCCATTATACTCCCCTATTAAGTGTAGGGTCGTAGTCTCACCAAGTTGCTGTTGTAGCAGGTGAGTTTTATGGCATACAGTTGCCAGCCACAAGTCCAAACAAGTTTTGAATTCAGACTTGTCCTTCTTCTAGATTGGTTGACAAGCAAGTCTAGAGAGCCCAATCTTCCATTCTATTTAACGTAGAGGTGGGGGCGGGGAGAGAAATGGATTCATACTCTTTCTAGCGTATTTGTGCGAAAGTGAATGTAACGGATTTCAATCGTAATTGGAGTTTAACACGTCGATTCAACTTCCCGTGCCGATAATCAGTACGCTACGCGCGCATATCATAACACGAAGAAGACCCGAACACAACCCCGGTGAAAAGACAGTTTATTCTAAAAAAAAAAAAACACAAACTATCATCATCTTCTTTATGTGCTGTGTCCCCTCAGGGCGTTGGCGATCATGGCTCTCCACAATTTCCTATTCTTTGTAGTTCTTAATAAATTTTGTCTTTTTGTTATTCCCCCTAAACCCCGCTCCGCCATCCGTTTATAGAAGCTCGCTAAGTAGGCTATGCGTGTTTTTCCTCTGTCTCTCTTTCCTTTAATCTGTCCTGTGTGTATAAGATTTCCCACGTTCTTTTTCCTGATGTTAAGTATATGTTTCCCTTTGGTTTTAATTTTCTCTGAAACTTCGTCGTTATTTACACAGTCTGTGCATCGCATCCTCATCATCCTTCTGTAGAACCACATGTTGCTTCAAGTCTCTTCTTCGTCACTGGATCGTATATATTATTCTTGTGAACATTTTCACTCGAGAATGAAAATTTAATTCTAATCTTTTGACATTCCTTTTCTCTTTTTCCTCTCGCCTCACCCCGAGAAGAAAGAAAGTGTGTGGGAGAGAGAGAGAGAGAGAGAGAGAGAGAGAGAGAGAGAGAGAGAGAGAGAGAGTTAGAAAAAGGAGGAAGAACAGGGAAGAAAAAGAGAGACAGTGTGAGAAAAATTGTGACGAAGAAGGAATAAGATTATACCATGAGGAAAAGACGGCCAGAGAGATTTAGAAAAAAATAAGAAGGAAAAAATATTAAGAGAAGATAGGAAAGAAAAGGGAAGAGCATGTTAAAGAAAAAAGTGACTAAATGTGAAAGAAACAGAAAGAAAGAGAGAGAGAGGGAGAGAGAGAGAGAACAAAAGAAAGAAAAGTTATTGACTGTGAGAGAGAAAGCGAGAGAAGAAAAGAAACGATAGAGTGATTGACTGTGGGAGAGAAAGAGAGAAGACAAAAAAAGCTATTTGTGAATGAGAGATAAGAAATCGAAGAAGACTCTAAAGTGATACAAAGGGAGTAAACAAAGCAAAGAAGAGGATAGACTGACTGTGAAAGCGAGAAAGAGAGAGAGAGAGAGAGAGAGAGAGAGAAAGAGAAAGAGAGAGAAAACAAAACAATGAAAGAAAGCGAATGACTGTTAGCATGAGAAAGAAAAAGAACTAAACAAAAAAGAGAGTCTGAATGTTAAATAGAAAGAGGGGCTGGAGACGGGTGATAAGATAAAAAAAAAGACTGAAGGTGAAAAAAGAATATGAGTGAACAAGAAAGTTATAGAGTGTATGTGTGTGTCCATGTGTGAATGTCTGTGTGTGTGAGAGAGAGAGAGAACGTGTGTAAGCGGATCGAATCAAACTTATTTACAACAAAGTGTAGAACAAATCAATAAATATTGATTTGATGAAGAAATAAGAGAAGTCATATTGAAAGATTTCGGTAACTAAACAGACATTAACCGGCTTGGATACATAGAAATTAATAAGTAGGAAAAGAGAGGAACAGATCTGAAACGTTATGAACATTCCAAGCTAGCTAAGTCGATATGAGCAGATTATATATATATATATATATATATATATATATATATATATATATATATATATATATATATATATAGGGTGCGATGGGTAAATTGTCACCATTTTATATTTTAATTTCGCACATGCGCGTTGTTTGTTTTTGATTTTGTCGACTGTACAGTATAGTAGAGTCAGTTGGACACCGTCTGTAAGAGAAAGGGGACCATGCCGCATTTCACTCTGCCAGAAATTTGGTAAGGGCATACTGTACTGCTTGTCATTCGCGCCGGAAGCTCCAGTACGAACATTTCAGAATGTTTGGGTATCAATGACAGTGCAGAGGATTCAGAAAGAGTTCCATGTGAATCTAATGGTGAATACGAAGGTACGGCAGCTCTGGAAAACTCACTCTGGCCGTTCTGATAAGAAAAGAACTCCTGAATTTGCTGGTGAGAGCCTCAGACTCAATATGAAAGCCTACATCAAGTTCTTTGATGAGTTAGTGCTGCCCTGGAAGATTCTATGTCTAGCAACAAGTATATTTATATTAAGCCATGACTGAATTCTTCTGCTTGTGTGGCATAGTGCGGAGACTTGTTGGTAGACATAGAATCTATATATATATATATATATATATATATATATATATATATATATAATAATAATAATAATCCTAAGGGCCAGGCAAACCTACCTACGTTTCACCTAAACGGATCATCAGGGCGATGTTGGCCCCATCATCGCCCCAGCGATCCGTTTAGGTTGAATCCGTTTAGGATATCTTAAATTTTAACTCTACTTTGTGTATTGGGCACTTTACGTGATTGCCTTTTTACTCGTTTTGGAGGTTTTTTTCTTTGGTTTAATGTTCTTCGTTCTTTCTTTTTTTATTCCTCATTTTTTTCCTCCGGTACCGATTGGTTCTACTGCAAGTCGAGCTATCCAAGGTTTTTTCAAGCGAGTACCACCATTGATATATATATATATATATATATATATATATATATATATATATGTGTGTGTGTGTGTGTGTATTCTTACTCATTTCACTCCAAGCAAGACAGGAATGCCACTAGTGCACAGGGGGTTACCAAGAGTGAAATTGAAAGAGAAGATTGAGAATAGGTAGCATTCAGGAAAGGACAAAAGATGAACGGAATTCAAGTAGACAGAAGATGGCGATGGATCTTGCTTTTAAATTTTTGAATATTGTATCTATCAGGGAAAGAAGGAAAGAGAAGGGAGTTCCACAGGTGGGAAGTGCAAGAAAAGAAACTGTTGGGGTAGAAATGGCGGTTGCATTTAGCCATTGCAATAGTAAAAGCATGGGACCTAGATGCCAGTCTAGTAGCACGTTTAAATTCATGTATTCGAGGTACCAGGGAAAAAAGCTCGTCGGAGCAGTTGCCATGAAAATATTTGGGGAAAAGACAGAGGAAAGTCACGCCGCGTCGGTGGGAAAGTAACTGAAGTCGAGATGTCAAGTCAGGATAGATTATATTACAGATCCTTCTTTGGGTTTTGTCAAGCTCGAAATAATTCGATTGAGCTCTCGGAGGTGAAGGGGTGATTTTATAAACAGTGGCTGCTTCTTCAATGTTCTTCAACTAGAATTGAGCTCTTCTAGCCACTGACGTCATTCGTAGAATCTCTGTCTGATGCTAAATCGGTTGGGTTTCGATCCCGGCTTGAACAATCGGATGTCTAGCCACATTGATGAGCTGTGATACAATGAAACAGTCTGTATTTGGATGACTATATATATATATATATATATATATATATATATATATATATATATATATATATATATATAGGTAAAATGGGAACAAATGGTGTATACTTCCACTGTACGTAACATTTAACTTAAAAGATGGCTCAATACAGAGTAGAGCTAAATATTATTTATTTTAGGATATTAAAACAAAAACATGTTAAAAATCGCTACACGATTACAATCATGTTTTAACACCACACATATGTCTCCTCGGGTGATATCAAACCACTGGCGAGCGAAAGATTAATTTAATTTTCAAAAGCAGAATACTTTTAAAAAATAGGATTTTGCCGTGATTAACCAATCAAATGTGACCTACGCTAAATTCAAATCCACCGGAAAAAAAAATTAGTACAGGTCATGACACGAAGTTGTCTGCATATCAATCCTTGACAATTTCCTTATGGACAGATACAATTTGTTACGTTATTTCGTGAGATGTATCAAAGTCTGACGTTCAATTTTCCAAATAAGTAATAGCTAAAAAGAGTAGGGAGGTAATTTAAGACAATGCTAACAAGTTATGTTCGTTCAGCTTCTTACATAACATTTTATAGTTGATAAATAAAAGGCGCTTTTAAGAAACTGGTAAATAACTTGGCTGTTTAAAAAAGAAAGATAAAAAAGACAGAACTACTTTGGCAAATTAATATACAACCGTTAAAAAAAGCATCCATATAAGATACTAACAATACGAACTAATCTGTGTAAGATATTAATAACAATAACTAGACACCTGTGCATCCATATAAGATGTTAATAATACTTGTAATGACAAAAGTACGCAGGTGTAGGCTTTAAGAAAGCTTTATTCAACTATTGTCCTTTTTATAGTCTCAGTAAAAAGAAATAACTCTCTCAAAGAGCAGAGTAACAAAACAGGGGGAGACCACTCTTGATTATTCATAACATTACTAATCAAACATCAATACAAAGCAATATTAAATCAAAATGAATCTTAGAAATAGAATAGTAAGCCATATAAAGTGCACCCTAGTTCATTGGCTGATTAGTACTATAAGAAAAAGTATTTTATATATATATATGTGTGTGTGTGTGTGTGTGTGTGTGTGTGTGTGGTTCTTACAGGGAATTCCAAACTGAACCCTTTATTTAATCTACAGGGATAGATTTGTCATTCCATGTCTAGGGATATCTAATCTAGTATTTATTTTTAGTACTGCTCAGTTATTATTTTGCCCCTGTTTCCAAGTATACACTGCCCAGCCAAGGATTGAACTCACAATTACTGTGTCACCAAATTCATGAACCAAAGCTTTAATCTACTAAACTATTTTTCTATGAGACACTTAAGTTTTCTCAAGTAAGCAGCCTAGTAGATAAAATAAATACTGTTTAAAATAAATCTAGTATCTACTCGGGTATCCACTAAAAATAACATATGAAGTAATAAAAAATAAAATCTAATATATATGTGTGTGTGTGTGTGTGCGTGTGCATGTGCGTGTGTTCACCCTGTAGACTCCCTTCTGGATATTTTGTGGCAGTGGTTTCTGCATAAAGTAGGGTTTTAGGGGGTGGAATCAGTTTTGCATTCTGAGTTCCTTCTCCTCGATTGGTCACCGGCCAGAGCTAGAAAAGTACGCTCAAACCTTTTCAAAAGTATTTGTGCGAATGCGTCAGAATCGGCTGGAATTTTAAGTTGACACATCAGTTAAAAAATTTGGGCTGCGATTAATGTGTGGTACCTGTTGTTATAATAAAAATATAGTTTTAAAGTAGGCACTTCCCCGAGATCGCTAAAAAAGAGCATAGCATGATGAAAAAGACGCCAAAATTGACGAAAACAAAATTTTATCGTCTAAATGTTTGTTATTATTAAGAGGAAAGATCAAAGTATTTTTTGGGTATTTTTTACATTTTTTAATCGTTCCTAGCACGTCTGAAATTTTCGTTAAAAATCTTGTTTTTTTTTTGAGTCAGCAAAATTGATCATTTTTTCAATTTTATAAAAAAACTGGAAATCTCACTTTGAAATTCTTTTCAATATCAATTATCATTTTTTCAAAACTTATTTTAAGAAAATCAGAAATTATAATGTTTATTTAAAGTATTTTCAACCAAGCTTGAGATGTAATTTGAAAATAAAACAAATCAGGTCATAAACTTTCGCGTCACTTGATAGGTGATGAATGACGGATTCCGTGAGGAAAATTTGTTTTACGGAAGGAGAAAAGTGAAATAATTTACATTTAAGTGAACAAATTATTTACCTCGTTATTTTTAAGGAAAACTTTCAGCGCTCTAATTTTTTTTGTATTTAGCTTTCACCTTTACGTTTACGATGCTTTATGGAAAATATATTATAAAGAAATTAAAATAAGACTGTAAAAGACATTAAATTTCATATTTCCTAAGAAAGGTGTCTAATTAATTTATAGGTACCTTTCTTATGAAATTTTATCAGAAGTGTACATAGAATATTATAATTTTATGTACATTTATTACATTTTACTGTGTTATTTGTATTTCCATTCATTTTATTATTAATGTTGATATTTCATTTATGAAAATATGTCATAACTGAGATTAATATAAAAATAAGAACATATAAATTTCATAAGATGATACTGATACTTGTAGGTACCCTTCTCAGTTGAAATTGAAAAATCAAATTAACTTCTCCACACGTGTTTCGCAAAAGTAAAGGCCTTAACAGCAGAGAACAATGCTTAACTCAAATAACGCAACTTAATTGTATTCTGGTTGATCTTCCGTACTTTATAATTACAACCCGATTATAAACACAAAATTATATTTCTTAATTACTGCGGATCTTCTGTTTAGTCAAAATGATACAATTTACAACGCGCTAAAAAAGATCTATCTCATAAGGACACTTACGAAAGTGGATGCGGCTTTTAACTAATTTTATAATATTTCAACAACTTAAATGTAAAAATCTATTATAATTAAGAAATAACAAATAATTGTATTAAAAATACATTTTTCATCGAAAAAATTTTGCTTGCAGGAAAATATTGTCCATATTCATAAAAACAACAATAAAAAACAAAAAAAATAAAAGCATTTGAAATTAAATAATATCTTTGTTTTATTGAGTTTTGTATATTACAATTCAGAGCTGATTTTCAGGTTGGGTCGTCCAATTAAAAACAACAAAAAAAACAAACTTGATTTGCATTCCTCAAAGCCTTGTGCTTTTAACTATTGTAATCACTAAAACCGATGCGATCGAATTTCTAGCGTTTTCATAAAATTAATTATTGGTGGGGGTAATAAATATATAAAAAATATTTCTGCCATGACTTCAATAAAAAAATATATTTATAATAATTTCGATCATCTGTGAATAGTTCCTGACAGTTTCATTAACATCCGACAATTATTTTTTTTTGCAAGATTTTCCAAATTAATATGTGTCATACCAAAAAAAAAAAAAAAAAAAACGTGCTAAAAATTGTCTATGTTATTTTACTAGTTCCGGTGATAAAAAGAGAAACAAGTTTTTTTTAATCAAAATTTAGAATGTTCTAAAAAGAAGGAAAAATTTTAAAAAATAATTAAAAAAAAACTTTGGTCTTTCCTCTTAATAATAACATAAGCATTTAGACGATAAAATTTTGTTTTCGCCAAGGTTGGCGTCTTTTTCATCAAGCTATGGTCTTTTTTAGCGATTTCGTGGAGGTACCTATTTTAAGGTATGCTATATTTCTAAGTAAATGTTCTTAATAGAACGTGTATAAATATAAATGTGGTCTTTGAGGTCAACATTGTGTGGCGACAGCGTGTTTCAAACTTGAACGAATTCTTCTGGCCCGAAGATTCCATTCAAGCGACTCTGCGTTGAATTCACTTGTCCATTTATATATATATATATATATATATATATATATATATATATATAAAATAAACAATAAAATCCAAAATTGCCTCATATGTGGATTAGGTTATTCCCCATACGTGGTAATTCGTGATTTTATTGTTTATTAATTATATTGTCCTGTAATAATAAATACATTGAGTTCTTTTTGTGGATCAGGTTTAATATCTGGTTGGTGCATAATTATCAGGCGTTTTTAAACAATATTTATTATGAAAAAGGAAGAATAATTCAACGATAACATTTTAAAATGAGTATGATTATCGACACGCATTTTTATAACCTGAAAATAAAATAATATATTTGTTAAAATACAGTAAACAAAACAGCAATTTTTATTAACAAATAACTCGACTATAAAAACGCCTGATAATTATGCACCAATCCAATAGTTTATATTACTAGGATTCACTTGGATTATATACCAACAATTTGTTACTTTTACTATATATATATATATATACTTTTTGCATATCCAGAGAGAATGTACACACTTAACACACACACACACATACACACAAAACACAAACACGTGTGTGTGTGTATATGTGTGTGTACAGAATAATACTGAAATAGAGAGTGAAAGCGTGTGAAAGCAGTAGAAAGAAAAACAGTCCAATGGAGAAATTTTATATATATTGAGGTAGGTCGGTAGGTAGGTAGGTAGGTAGGTAGGTAGGTAGGTAGAGAAAGAGAGAGAGCCTTATAGAGAAAGCGAAAGTGAGAGCGTGTGAAAGAGATAAAAAGAGAGACAGGATAACAGAGAAATTATATATATATGATGGCTGATATATATATATATATATATATATATATATATATATATATATATATGTGTGTGTGTGTATGTATGTATGTATGTATTGAGAGGGAGGGAGAGAGAGAGAGCGCAAGCGAGTAATACAGACATAAAGCGAGAGCGTGCGAAAGAGGTAAAAAGAGAGACAGGCAGAGAGATGATAGATAAAAGTAAATGAAGAAAATAAACGTTGAGAAAGCTTTTCTACTGAAAGGAAGACGTATAGAAAAAAGTGAGACGTTTGAAAAGACCGAGAAAGCAAACACATTTCGATATTTTCCCTTGAATCCATTTATTCTAGCGAACCATCCGATGACAGGAGAAATGGAAGGTCCACACTTGCGGTTAGGTCAGAATTGTCACGCAAATTGTTACTATTCGGACATTAATAATTCCAGTGAGGGTGGATTAAAATGCATGGGATGTGTCGTCCAATTCTTAAAAGCCCAACATTAATGGGCGGGTGGCGATTGTCCTGAGGGACAGACTAACAACGGACGGTCCCGTTCCCCCACCACACTCTCTTTTTCTTATACACCTGCCGTTGTTCGACGTTTAGCAAGATATCTTCGTATAAGAAAGCTAGTGTAGTGAGTTCCAAACTCATAGAGCGCTTCACTAACGTTTCCTTCATTATGACCTTGTGCCAGACTAGGTAAAACTGAGTATACATGAACCTTCTATTGGTTGAAATATATTGTAGGATGACAATAAATATTAACTTTCTATTGGTTGAAATATAATGTAGGACGACCACTAGAAAACGTTTCACTTTCGATTACTAATGTTTTATGAATCGTTTCACCCCAGGCAAGGCAATAATATCACTAAGATTCAAGGGGTTTACTAGGAGTGGGAGAGAATGAGAAAACTTTAGTAAGGGGAAAGGACAAGGAAAGAACAAATTTAAAAAAGAAAGAAGCATATTATTTGGCGTTGCATTTAAATTTTTGAAGATTGTATCAGAAGGGACTTCCATAGGTGATAAGTGCAGGAAAAGAAGCTATTAGAATAGAATCGGCATTTGCATCTAGCTAGTTCGATAGTAAAACGGTGAAACCTACTTGCCAATCTAGTAGTACCCTGAAAACAAACAAAAAAAAAAAAACAGAGGGAAGGTCCGTCACGACGGTGTGAAAGTGACTGAAGTTGCAATCCAGATCAGGACATTACAGACCCTTTTTCGAATTTTGAAAAGAATCTCGAGATACATAGTAGGAGCACCAGAACAGATATGGCAGCGATATTCAATACACCGTCGAATGGTAGATTTACAAATGTACAAGATGGATTCTGACGGAAAAATGTCTGGCACAGCATAATGAAGCAACCTTCAACCTTCAAAGAACTTGACCAAGCAATTCATATCAACATGAGCTCAAGAAGGAGAAACTGAGTTCAAACTTTATTGGATGCCCCTCAACTCTAGTTTTGTTAAACGAAATAAACTTCTACATTGGCCATAATTCTTTTAAGAATTTCACCCCAATCAAGGCGGAAGTGCCACTAGCATGCAGGGATTTACAGAGAGTGAAAGTGAGGGAAAAGACTGCGTATAGAGGGGACTGAGGAAAGGATAAAAGAAGAATAGGGATCAAAACAACAGAAGATGGCAATTGACATTTGATTTAAATTTTTGAAGTTTTGTAGTTATCAGGGAAGTAAGAGGAAGTGAGTGTCACTGGCGGGAAGTACGAGAAAAGAAACAGCTGGAGTAGAAGTGGCGGTTACATTTAACTATTTCAACAATAAAAGGGTGGGACCTAGATGCCAATCTAGGAGCACGCTTAAATTCATGTAGTCGGAGTATCAGGGAAGATAGCTCATCAGAGCGGTTGCCAGGAAAATATTTGTAGAAAAGACAGAGGGAAGCCACATCACGTCTATGAGAAACTAACTGAAGTCTAGATGTCAAGTCAGGACCAATTAGATTGCAGATCCTCCTGTGGATTTTATCGAGAACCTCGTGATGAACAGCAGGGGCACCCGACAAGATATGACAATAATATTCAATGCATGGATGAATGGTAGATTTGTGGATGTGTAAGATGGATTCTGACGAGAAAAACCTTCTGGCACAACACTTTCCTTGCAATAGATGCAGCTATTGATTCAATGTAGTTGTTCCACCTCAAGTCATTGGAAAACGTGAGGCCAAGAAGAAAAGCGTGGCTGAGAGCAGCCTGTATTGTTGTGAATAGAACTATTTTTCTTGTGCAACACAACGATAAATAATATTCCAATGTTACCTAATATATTAATATTTTTTATCAGCCCTTGAGCAGAATCGAACCGGGAAATACTTAACCCAGCTTCATCTCATAGTGAACCTGTAACGATGGCTGGCCACTCATATCTGAGTATGTCTGCCTACTAGAGCAGCTAGACGCACCCTCAGGCACATTTGTTCAAGACTTACAGAGTGCACCTTAGTTACAGTTTCTGGGAGGTTCAACACCCACAGAGCCCACCTGTGGTTCATACTGCAACTATGCTGAGCGGATCTTAGGTACAATTTTTGAGAGAGAGCGCATTATCTGGCTTAATCAACAGTCTGAACAAGGCCAGTAAACCCAAACCCTCGATCACGATGACTTGTAATTTCGTGCCATCACAACCATCTACGGATCACAAATAGATCCGTCTGCTCAACAGTTTTGTCTTAGAAAAAATGATGAAAACAACCATTTTTGTCTAAGAAAAAACAAGACACTGATGATGACATTGTGCTAATGTCGAAAGTACGTGGAATAAAATAAACATACATCAACATGGTAATTTTCTTTCTTACTTTAATAAGGATACCAAGAAACTTGTCGGTAATTACAATAGGATCCTATTAAAAATAAGTAGACAAAACTTGTCTAAATTATTTAATAAGTCTAAATATATATAAATGTTAAAATTCCCTTAAGGACGCATGGAACGGTGGATAAAGGCGATGGTTAGATCCAGTGACAGGACCCAAAGAGTTGTGAGTTCAATACCCGATTAAGGCAGTGAAGAACTTGGAGAGGTTAATTAACAGAAGATAACTGATAACTGACATCCATTAGACATGGCACGTGGAACTAGAACAATCCACCTGAAGAAGACCGAAACGTTGTGACAAATATAGCAACAAAGATGAGGACAATAGTCCGAATAATATAAATAGTGTTAAAATTTCCTTCCTTTGTCTGCCGTGCGACGATGGCCTAGTCGGGTTTCGATCCCGGCTTGAAGCAATCGGACGTATAGACACACTGAGGAGCTGTGATACAGCGAAACAGTCTGTCTGTGGATGACTATATATATATATATATATATATATATATATATATATAAAATAAAATGAAAGATCATATATAGATTAGAATCCGACAGAATGATAAGATAAGGGACAAATAGATAGGAAATGTTTATAAATTTAACATGTTTCGCTTTTATTTAAGCTTCATAATTCATCCCACCCAAATTCTAATGAAGCTTACATAAAAGCGTTACATACTAAATTTATAAACATATCTTATTTTTTCATTATCTTATCACACACCCCGCACAGTAAAATTGTAAAAATATGAAAATCAAACAATTTCAAATTAAATGTCACAATATGTTTTTTAACGTTAAATCTCACATATATATACCAAAATAAACTCTTAAATAAGAAAACTGAAATAATAGATAAGTGTAGGGATATAAATAACTACTTATTTTGCCATCTAAGCACTAATTAAAAAATAAATAAAAGATAAAATAAACAAAATAAATATATTATAAATATAAAATGAATAAAATTAAGTAATAAATATATAAATATAAATAAAATAAACATAAAAGAAATAAACAAAATTAAACTAAGAAATGAAATATACATAAAATAAACGAACAAATGTTACGTGTGTATATGTGTATATATATAAATATATACATACACACAGATACACATACGCACACACAAACAACAACAAACCTAACCTGCCATAATTATTACCTCAATATTTAAGATATCACCAAAGCAAAAAGAAAAAAAAAATTACTAGAATTACAGAATGAAAAGTAGATAAACGATAACATATAAACAAATATTTAATTTTCTACCTAAACACTATTAAGAAAACACACAGACACACACACACACACACACACAAACACACACACACACACACACACATATATATATATATATATATATATATATATATATATATATATATATATATATATATATATATATATATATATATATATATATTGACCCGTGCGCGTATTTAAGTGTGTGTGGGAGTATGCCTATTATATAGCTTGCATACATATATTCAAACAACAAAGAAATACCCCGTAAATATAACCACTCATAATTAATAACCTAACATAGGGTTGGACAATTTTTTTGGCTTGGGCGGGGGGGGGGCACTTTGAGAAGGCAGGGGTTAGCAGTGGGTCGCACCTTCTAAAACATATTCATTAGTTAACATTGCATTTCATTTAATGTGAATTTTAAATTGCAAAGAAAACTGAATCAATAGTAGTACAGAGTGCAAATTACACATCAGCTCGCACAAGTAATTTGATGAGACGAAAATGGAAACACTGACAATTTTTTTACAATTCTTTTGAAATCAGGCTACGGTTTTTTGTAGAGATTCTCTTCACTGCCTTCAAAACAAATACAGCAAAAACTTTGCTCACAAATCTATGTGCATCCAAAAATAGAAAATATATTCCCAGCAAATTTGTCAGTAGATAAAGATTTGTAAAATTCTATCAATGACACAGAATTAAACATTTTTTTTCAGCGTGTGATTTGACTGCATATCAATTATTTCAAACTGAACCTCCTCAGGTACTGTATCAATATCAGTAGTAAAAGGATAAGATAACAAATTGAATTTAGGATCAATTTTCTTGAAGTCCTGAAATCTTCTTGTGTCCTTCAAACTCAACAAAGAATCCCTAATCTTGGACGAAACACTTGCAGGCACTTTCTGTTTTCCTAAAAAGTGAAATGACAAAACTCACCTTCGTCTGTTTGCCTTGCAAATAGACCTAGTTTTGTTTTGAATGAGCTCATCTGCCACAACATTTCATGTGCAAATAGCTCCTTTTCCCTGCAACGACATATTTTATTCATTTAATTTCTCAAACATATCAGCTGCAAACATCATCTCATATCGCCACTCCTGACATCCTATTTTGGTCACAAAATCACATGAATTCCCGTTTATATCCAGGCAGAGAAGGATTTCGTTCTGTAATTACCAAACCCGTTTTAGGATTTTGCCC